TGGAAAATTCTTTCTTGATTCGGACACTGATTTCCCTAGAATTAGATTCACAAGACTTCTTTTTGAATCGGATACAGCAACAGTTTATGTCAGAGGTAGTTTGTAAAAATCTCAGGTTTTAGGGAGTAATTAAAGAAGTTTTTATATGCAAATTACCAACTTCACTTAGCTAGAGGTTATCTCCGGTAGGGTTGCCTAGAGGAGAAACTGTTAACCTCTTTCAAACATTCATTAGAAAGCTAGCTACTTCTGACTGGGGAATAGAGGTCAAGCTTAGTTTGAGGTTGTTGTCATTGTTTTTGTGGAGGGAGTTCTGAGATTTATTTTTTTACACTCTAATCCCCAAGGATGCTGTTTTTTTTTTTCTTTTCTTTGGCTTCTATGACATAAAAAAAAAAAGTGAGGGGTGGGAAGTGTGATGGGGGGGGTGCTTAAAATCAAGTGGTGAGTCTCTATTTCCCCTGGGGTGTTCTTTCTCAAGGAAGAGGCCAGGAAAGATTTCACGGTGAGATAAAGGGCCCAAGCTGTCTCTCTCACATTCCCCAGCTTCTCCTGGCTTTAGAACACAGCACCAAGGTGACAGACACATGGCCAGCACCACTACTAGCTAGTTCTCTTGGATAGTGGAGAATTTTGGAGTTAAGGAGCGGGACCTCAGAGCCAAGAATCAAGGTTCAAGTTTAAAAAATGCCCATGGTTGTTTGCAGAGTGCTAACATCAAGTAGGTTGGAGAGGGGCCGGCCCCGTGGCCGAGTGGTTAAGTTCGCGCTCTCCGCTGCAGGCGGCCCAGGGTTTCGGGGGTTTGAATACTGGGTGCGGATATGGCACCGCTCATTGAGCCACGCTGAGGCGGCATCCCACATACCACATAGAAGGACCCACAACTAAGAATATACAACTATGTACCTGGGGGCTTTGGGGAGAAAAAGGAAAAAATAAAATCTTTAAAAACAAATATGTTGGAGATAGCTGGTCATAAAGCACATTCCAGATTCATGTGAGGACGGTGTTGAACATGAGCATCCGAAGACCTACAGCATCCGTAATGGACACTAAGAGGCAGCATCAGTGCCCCCTGGACCTTCTCTGTCAAGCATGGCACATTAATGAGGAGGGGCTCACATGACCCACTTACAGCGGCTGCAAAGGTGTGGCAGATGGACACCCAGGTTTGAGCAAATATTGGCAGAATTTACTTGAAGTTGAAACATTGTGTAGGTAAGAGGGAAACAAGGTCCAGCGATGAGACAGACGTCTTGCACTGGATCAGGAGAGAGTCCTGGGAGGGCAGTGAGGACCACTCCCGTTGCAGGAAAGCCAGCTCGACCAACTCTCCCACCGGTCACTAAGGACTACTGGAGGAGGAAAGGGATTATGGGACCCCCATAGGAGCCTGCAATATTAGGGGGCTGAGCGAGACCATATCTGGAGACAGGAATTAGAAGGCTGAGGCTTAGAGACCAGACAGACAAATAGGATAAGTGAGCCAGGTATTTTATTCATTGATTTAACAAATATTTATTCTCAGTACCGAGGAATACAGTCAGACCCATAGAGGATTCCATAGAGCCCTAAATCAATTGGCTGCTGGGGAATCCCCAGCCTCTGTCAACAAGAAGAGGTTCAATAGGCAAACAGTGTAAAGGGCCTAGCAGTAATCCAGTGTCTAATCATCACAGATGGAAGATCTCCCACATTCTTCAAGCAACTACAGTGTGAAACCCACATAACAATCCTTTATTATTATCACTTTACTGTACCAATAAAAAATGCTGAAGCTCAGAGATGTTAAACATAAGTTTCACAGTGAAGAGAGGCAGGAAGAATTCAACCTACCTTTACCCCCAAAGCCTGTTCTGCCCTCCCTCTGCACTGAACTGCCACCAAAAATTCCCTGCATATGAAGGCCTCAGGGAAGCCTAGAAGCCGATGGTGGGGACTCAGTCAAGGGACTGTATTTGGGTACAGGATTCCAGTCCCTGAAGCTTGCATGGGAAAGAGCCAACCCAGCCTTTCAAAGAACCAAGACACTATGTAAAGAATTAAATCATTCAAGAAAGAGGCGACAAGGCAGTAGTAACAGTAGTCCAGTTACTGAGCCTGGGGAGGAAGCCAGCAGAGGAGCAGGAGTGAAGCCGTCATTGACCTCCTGTCCTGGGTCTCATGTTCCAGCTGAGAGCATGATTATCTAGGGTTGCCAGATGAAAGACAGGGCACCCAGCTAAATGTGAATTTCAGATGAACAATAAAATTTTTTTAGTACTAATAATTTTTTTAATATTGCATGGGACGTACATTTAAAAAATTGTTTCTTTATCTGAAATTCAAATTAAACTGGGCAGCTTATATTTTTATTTGCTAAATCTGGCAACCTAATGATTGAGGTCAGACCTGAGCTGAGCCACAGATGGGGATGTGGGGCCCCAGCAAAAAAAGAAAGAGGGGCACAGGGAGAAGGATCCTAGCAGATGGCTATCAAAACAACTCCTGCCCCCCACCACCACCGTTTTCTTAACGAAAAGTTTTCCACCATTACAATTTAATATTTACAGAAAAGACATTTGGTAAAACTCCAAATGTATTCTTCATGATTAAAAACACAACAAGATGAAAAACAACAGAAAAAAACTACTCCTGGTAGATGAGGAATGGGAGGCCTTAGCATGATAAGCGTGATGAACATTAATCTGAAAGACAGTGAGCTCTCCCTTGGACTCGCCGTGGAAGGGTCTGTGCCGGAGCTTATGGAAGAGCAGAGACAGGGGGTCTCCTCACTGTACAATTGTGCAATGGCTTTTCCCACTGAAACCATAGTCTTGGGTAGTTTGGCTGCAGAGATATTACAAGTTAAGTGGAATTTTGCAGGCTGCCTCGCTGATAATCATAGATAATGTTCTTTCTATGAGTAAATGTCTTCCAAGTTCCCTGCAATGATCTTACAAACGAATTTTGGCAGTACAATTTGTTGTTAATAGGGGTCTTTCTACATGACCCTGAACGATTTGGCATGCGTTCTTCTGTCCAGCATTCTCTCAGGCCAGCCTCCCCTAGCTCAGCCCATTCTGGTCATGCTCTCCTCTTTCAGTCCTAGGACAGAACAAGCTCCCTCCTGCCTCAGAGCATTTGTCTAGACTATCCACCTCTATGAAACTCTCCACTTCTGGCTCCTGGCCTGGCTCCTTCTCCTTCAAATCTCTTCAAACAAGCCTTCCTCAATGACTGCACTATCTAGATATTACCCATCTAAGAACCCTGAAAATTACCTTCATTTGTATCAATTTATAAATTGATATTGATTCTTTGTCCCTCACTAGAATATAAACTCTCAAAGACGAGGACAATCTCTATTTTACTTTCCACTCTATATGTAGAATCTAGCATAATACTTAGCACAAAATAGATTTTTATAGAATGAATAACATGTGTCAAATGAATGAATGAATGAATGATCTGAATGAGTTAGTGAGTGAAGAAATGAATGGTTGCATTTTTCCCTGCAAATTCTGTTTTATTCCCGGTTTATGATTAAGACAAGATCTTTTGTCAGCTCCAGTTAGCGTATCTTAATTACATTCAGGCATGCATCAATTTATCTATTCATTTATTCTTTCATTCCTTTGACAGCCCCTTACGTATCAGATACAGCACAGATTCTGTCCTTTTGAACTCTGACAAATCAAATTCAACTCAAAGTAAAATCAGAAAACACGTGACGTAATGGTGAACATCACAGGCTATCATGGTCACCAGTGTATTTTATATAAATCAATTCCTCTTCCCACATGCACGTCACAAGGCCCAAGTTCATTAATCGGAACTTTTGCCTCCAGTGCCATGTGCTTTCTGACTCAAATTTAAAATCCTTTTGGAAAACAGGGAATTGCCATAAAAAGCTTCAACGTAGAAACATACAAAACAGAGGAGGGAAGTGTTCAGATGAGAGATGAAGAGCAAATGGGAGGCAGAATTCGTGAGTTGTGCTGTCATTTCCTGGAGCAAATTTGACCAAACTGGTCCCTGTCCCCAAACACTTTCTCTGCAGTCACAGAATCTGACTTTGTGCGTTCTTCCTTGGTGTGTTTGTTCCACGGCAACCATTGAATGTACCGACTGTCTCCAGCCTAATTTGTGGATGTAATTTGTGCTTCTGTTCTCCTCAGCTTTTCCAAACCTGCTAGGCCACAAGCGCTTCTTCTCAGAAGGACTGTAAATGGCTTAACTCTATCCTGCTGTCTGTGGATTTCTCCACTTAGTCAAACAAAGCTCTCCTTCCCAGTAGCCTACCTCCTGGAGAAAAGGTTCAGAGTAAACTGGCCTCTTAGTCTGCCTAGGTCTTTATCCTAGAGTCGGTGCTTCAGAGCAGAAATGGAAAAGAAAATTATAGAAAAGTAAGAGACAGGGAAAAAATACAGAACTGCTGTCAAGGTCGCCAGTATATTTCTGGTGCAGGATCGCCCTAGGTGAAATTATTTTAATTTACCAATTTGCAGAGATAAAAAATATCCTGCTGTGAAAACCACAGTCTTCACAGTAGTGTGTGGCACTGATGAGGTGCACCATATGATAAAGCCACTTGAGATCAGGCGTTTGCAAGACCATTTCACGGTGGGGGCAAAATCGTGTGAAGAGTTATAATATGGTTAATGGCATTGTAAGGCTGATCTCACTAATTTTACAATTCTCTTTTATGCATAGGTTATCATACTAATTAGCTGCATCTGGAATGTTTGTCATTTTAATAGAGCGATTTTGCATTTCCTTTTGCTTTTGTTCTGCAGCCTCCAACCTGATGTTAAGAGCTTCCAGTAAGGTTTAGCACATTGAATGCTCTGGATGATTTGAGACAAGTCACCTTGGGGTAGGAAACCTTGGAGGATGGCATGGCGGAAAGAGCGGAGGCTTCCAAATCACATGTGTCAATTATGATGGCAGTATAGATGTTGGCAATTTACTTAATCTCTCTGAAAGTGTTTCATTACAAATGGAAAGACAGAACCTACCTTGCAGGCTTATGGTGAGGATTAAAATAATCTCTTTCACGTGGCTAACTTATATTCAATAAATGGTCCATATATAGTAATAATAAAGCACAATTCTTTTCTTTTTTTTCTATTCTTTTAATGGTTGCAAGATCCATATGGGCAGACCTAGTAGGAAATAGTAGAAATTTCAAAGATGTCGGTAAGAATCACTTCACATCCTAGAAGTTTCAAAACATTCTTTTGCTTTCTACTCCTCTTAGGTAAATCAGAGATTTTGCAAATAATGGCAACATAGTAGACACTGACGGTTTTCAAAGACATAACAGAGGAAACCAACAATTTGCCATAATCGGGAACAGAACTTTTAGGTGAGAAAATAAAAAATCGCTGACCTTGGCTTCAAATCCAAGACAAGTTTAAATATTTTACTATGGCCTGGGCACTTTATGAGAAACTAGATCCAGGACTTATCATTTAATCATGTGTACATGTAGGTGACACGCAGCACAGAAATGGGAGAGGTTAGAATGCTGGCCTGTAGAAGTGTATTAGAATCTGTACAATGTTCTACTAATGCCAAGTATTATTATGGTTATTGTTATTGTTCTTGTTAAACTATAGGTGGAATCTGGGAAATCTGCCAACAATAACAATGATTATTGTTCCTAAGATATTAACAAAGGCAGAAGAAAAAAACTGCAAAAAAGTGGTTCACTTACATAAAACTCAAGACAATTACAGCTATAGCCATCTGGAAAGCTTATCATTTATCCTTAATATTTTCCTCCAGAAATTAATACCAGCATGTAATCTGAAAATGTGATGCAATAAAATAGGAGCTGAGCTAAATTATTGACAATGGTTGCTTATGAAAAATTTGAAACTTTCTGGTGTCATCCTGAGAAATCCCACCTGTCTCAGTACAGTGCGGATTCCCAAAAGTTCTCATTTCTATCTATGTTTCTGATGTCTCCATCAGATGTTTATTTTCCTTTCTGGGAGAAGTGGTTAATTGGTGTCTCTTTTCCCAAACTATTAATGCGTATCTCCTTACACTAAGATAATGAACAGAGCTTTAGAAACACAGCATAAAAACAACATGTAGTAAAACCCTAAAAAGAGTATTCTAGGCTAAGAGGGACTGGTCTACATTCTACCTCCAACGGAGCTAACCACTAGACACACGGGTCCTTAGGATTTTGCCCCCTACTGCTTCTGCTGTACGTATTTGAACTCTTAGCAGGTCCTGAGAGGCATCTTCCTCTATTCCACCCCCAGACATTTGAATGGACTCCCAATACTAGAGCATTCTTTCTCTTCTCCAACCAAATACCTCTTATGCATCCTTCATGTCTCCGCTTAGCTATTCCTCCAGAAAATCTTCTCTACCCTCTCCCTCCCCCATTGACCACCACATCCAAGGCTGTTTTGATGTTCCTCCTATGCACTCCCATAACAACCATGTGAGAGAACTTAGATGACCTGTTAACAAATCTGTTTCTCCTTCTAGACCATAAACTGCTGAAAGCAGGGCCTAAATCTGCTTCACCTTTTTGTTCTCAGCACCCTGCATGTAGCAGGCACTCAATAAATATTAGCTGAATTAATGTGTTTTAGGAATCCCATCTTGAAAGCATTCAGAACAGATAATCTGGTTCTTCAAGAGTTACAAAGCAAATTGTTCATCATCCAGCTAATTTCAATGGTGTAGGCTATCTAAGTGGATAATTTAGACTTGAATTATATAGTTTGCTTTTGATAAAAACTCATCAGCCATTGCCTTATTGCTACTTTTCTTTGCTGTGTAGACACTGCTCTGATATTATCTTTTTATGATTTAGTTTCTGATCAAAGCAGGAACAACCATGACAGGAGAGTAAGAATGTGCTGACTCTGCCATTAACCTTGGTGGCTTAGCGGACACCCCCAAAGCCTCAGTGTGCTTCATCCCTGTCAGCCCAGCCCTAAGGCACTCCAGGAAGGAAGATGAATGAAGGAATGCAAAAGTCCAGAGTGAACCCACAGGGCCATACGTAGGATTATTGTAGGGATAAATATGAATATTTTTGCAACTAAACATTGTTGGCCTCCAACATCACAACCTCTTCACCTTCTCTCTATCACTTCTCCTGAAATAGTCACATTGGCTTCCATTATTCCCCTATGAGTCTGAGAGGCAGACCAGTTCTCTACTGAGATTTTACAACCCTGTTCACAAACTCCTACTAACCAAACCTATGAGGTCAGTATCTTTTGAACCCAACTTCAGCTACTCCCCAAGCAGGCCAATTAAAGAGGCCACCTGTTGTAGATTGTGTTGCCTCCCAGAATATGATCACATATGGCTTCTTTAAAGAGAGAAGAAAATGATGAATGAATGGCAAAAACACATGTTTATACTTAAACCTGTTATGTACAAGAGCTTTCAACTCTCGGGTAAGAGAGTTTCAGGGGGGTAACGTGTGTGTCTGCTGCCTGTAAGAATGATTGTCTGTCAAGCGGTTTTTCGGAATCCACAGATACCCTAAGGAGAGCAGGGAAAAAGCAGAGGGATTGTAACCTGGAAACCAGAACAAGCTGAGGATTCATTCTCACCTTGTGACATCTGTAGTTTGGGAAATGGGAAGCCTGCAGAATGATCTCATGCACTTGAAGCCTGGGACTCACACCTCCTCGCCTGCCCCTCTGCCTGTCATCTGTCTATTTTTAAAGGTGAGGAATCTGAAATATGCTTCAAAAAACTCAAATGATGATCACAAAAGCCAAAGTCCCTTGCTCAACGACTGGATCTCCAGAGGAGATTCAGAGCTTCAGCTTTGCTTTCTGTTTCTTCCAGAGCATGCAGGGGAAAAAGTTAATAGCCATTCGCGATTTGCGAGTGGGGTTTCTCTCAGCTTCTTTGGACAACTTCCCTCAGTTCCCGGGGAGAAGGCACTTTGGTCAGGGGCAGAGGGCACTTGATCTCTTTTAACTAACCCTCTGAGCCTCTCTTTAACTAATGCTAAGTGGGTGATTGTTAGCTTTTTCTTCTCACAGGAAATTCATCTCAGTGCTTTGCATAAAATTTGTATTTTGTGTAAGTACCCAAGGATGACAACTGAGACAAATCTTTAGTTTCTGCTACCAAATCTATAAGAAAAAAGCACAACAGATTTACCTCATGAGAAATGCCAGCATGAGGAACATGATGGGATTTAACAAAACTTCTGTTAGATCCACTTTTCCCTCACTTACTTTTGAATATAGCTTGGAGTCTTTCTTTATAATGAGACAAGTATTTGTTAGGAGAAAAATACTTTAAAAAAAGAAGCACTAGAAAATTCTAAATCGGAGGTGAAATGAATGAGTCCAGGTGGAAAGAGAGAATGCCTTCCAGTCCCCAACTCTTCCATTTCCCTGATCACTGGCTCAAAGTCTCAGCCTCATGGTGCCATTGAGGTCCAGGAATGGGTCTCATTTTCCTCATCTATAAAGCAGAGGGAGTAAGAGTGGATGGACCAGCTGAGCTTGAAGGCAAACCCTCCCAACTGCTATGCCATGGCACTCTGGTATGTCTCAAGTAGATCACAGGTGTGCCAAGACATGGATCAACCCTCATGATGACTGGGCATAGTCTTGGACATCAGGAGCCTCTAGGCCAAGCATTTCTAGCCACAAGCATCCTTCTGTATTTATTCTCTGTTTATTCCAGTGCATTGTAAAGTTATTTTCATTTTATATATTTCCCAGGATGTGAAAAAATGTTAGAAAACACTGGTTTAAAGTCTTTTCCAGGGCCAGCCCAGTGGCGCAGCAATTAAGTGTGCATGTTCCACTTTGACGGCCCAGGATTCGCCGGTTCAGATCCTGGGTACAGACATGGCACAGAAGTAGAGGAAGATGGGCACGGATGTTAGCTCAGGACGAGTCTTCCTCAGCAAAAAGAGGAGGATTGGCAGCAGATGTTGGCTCAGGGCTAGTCTTCCTCCAAAAAAAAATTTTTAAAAATAAAGTCTTTTCCAACTCCATTGTTCAATTATTCTCTTGAGGGACTCATTTTCATGGAAACCTAACAAATGTCTTATGGGGAACAGGTAGGAAAACACAATAAAATATTAGGGGAAATGAAGAGGAGATGCAAAGTCTCCCTCTTAACTCTCAGGAGGGTTCCAAGTTGGGCAGGTATCCTGTCCTATACAGCACAAGTGAATCGAGGGGCCTGTGTTCAGTACAAAGAATGTTCGAGCAGAGGGAAGAGATCATTTGGATGCAGAACTATGTGGATACTTATATTTTCCTTTGACCCAAGCATCAGGGAACTTAGTTTTCTCAAGAAACTGGGCCTGTAGGAAGTGAAAAAAGCAGTCCACATTTAAAAAGTTGAAAACACTAGGAGCATTGCAAGAAAGGAGAATTTCTCACATTGAGAATTCGAGAGTCCCTTATACCAAGTAGAATTGGACCACTGGTGGGGAAAAGGTGCTTCATGCCACAACTAAGGGGAATTGCTGGAGCAGAGTTGTAAAGATGGGAGAAGTGACATCAAGATGGCAAAGCAGGTGTAAAGGGTTAGAAGGTTCATATGCACCAAAGTGATGAGGTGAATTCAACAACTTTGGAGGCCTTCAGCTCAACACTGTCCATAACCAGCACAAACAAACAATCCAAAGGCAAAGAAAATCCTAACTCTGGTTATTAAATGGATTTTTTTTAATCTATTTTTTTGTTGTTAACTACAATCTTGCTTGATTTTGAAAATCATGTATACTCAGAGGGAGTAGGGAAGGAAGTGGTCAGCAAACTATAGCCCGGGAGCCAAATTCAGCCTGCTGCCATTTGTTGTATGGCCCACAAGCTAAGGATGCCTTTTACATTTGTAAATGCTTGAAAAAACACCAAAAGAAGAATATTGTTTTGTGACATGTGAAAATAGGAAATTCAAATTTCAGTGTCCATAAATAAAGTTTTATTGGAACACATCCATATACATTATTTATATAATATCTATAACTGCTTTCACACTGCAACAGCAGAGTTGAATAGCCGTGACAGACATAGTATTGCCCTCAAAACCTGAAACTTTTACCATCTGGCCCTTTACAGAAAAAGTTTGCGAACCCCTGGTTTGGGCAATGGCTTCCTGTCTACTGAGAGGTGCAGCGGTGTTCAGTTTAGTAAGAAGAGGG